CAAGCCTCTTGTGTAAAGTTTAGAGTATGCAAAGGAAATATCTGTCTACAGGCAGAAACCATAGCAGGAAACAACCTACTCAAATGGAACAAGCAGAGTCTAGCAATCAGTTCACTGTCAGAGTGGAGGAATTATTTTTTTAATTTACATTTCTTAGTACATTTTATTCACTTAGAGTTTAAAAAAAAAAGCATGTGTCCATTTTCCTTATAAGCCTGAAATTCTCATGCTAGGAGAAGTAAAAAGCAAATCGGTAACCATCACAAACTAGACTTAAACGCTGTAAAAATTAAATTTCCATTGAAAGATCAATTCAGTTTATGAAGACCTTTTTATAAAATACATGTAATTAGTAGCTGATGAATCTGACATGTCTTAGATAGCACAGGACACGGATAGTAATTAAAATCCAGAGTGAGGAATTCAAGGAGCATAAGTGAGGCTGCAAATATATAGATTAAAAAAGTTAAGTTTCAAACCAGCAAAATTCTATCAAGCCCAAAAGCAAAGTTGCAGATTATTTACTTGTTCCAGGTAGATATCCACACAGCCCCCAGATGCTGTGCTGATGGAAGCAACTGCCAGGAGTGGATGAAGTGGGTGCCATGCTATATGAGAAGGGGAGGCAACTGAATCAGGAGCTTCTGTTCTATGATCCACATACACAGCCATAACAACAGAAGTGGTCACAGACTGCAAACCTGTACAAGGAAAACAAACATTTCTAACAGGTATGCTTAAGTATATAATATATATGTACACACTATATATATGTATGCTATATTATATATGTAATAACAAGTATGCTTAAAAAAATGGGGAAAAAAATAAAGCTACAGCATCACCTTGTTAATATGCATTACTCAGACAGGAAAAAGGTCATAGTGGTATTTTCAAAAAATACAAAGGAATACTGAGCCTTGTAGTCTGTAGATTAGATTCACAGTGCACATAGGCTAGTACCAATCTGTCACTAATGGCTTGCGCTGGCTTATTTCAGAGGACTCTGAAATGTCTCAGAATTTACCAGAAAGCTACTTCCAGTACTTCATATCCAACGATGTCAATTAATGTGAAGACAGAGCAATTTTATGTTGTAAAGTCTCACATCTGGGCTTTCGAAGTAAGTTTTAACAGTTGTCACCGCTTTGGAGCTTGTACTGTTGAAATTATGCAAGATCAGTTTAACTCATATTATCTGTTATCTACATTTGAATGAAAATACTCAATAAGCGCCAATGTTCCAAGGAAAAGAACCTGAAAGCAATGCTCTTTTCAGAGTTGTGTGTCAGAAATGGAGGAAGTCACTAAGAATCTTTAATATTTTATATACGGAGATGGTCTCTGGGATTTCTGTTGTGTGATCTTACCAGCTTCGTTTCAAAAGAAAAACAGCTGGAGAGAAACACCTCAAGTTATTAGCAAATAATGCCAAGACCTGGTGAAAAAAAAACAACAAACAAACAAAAAGCCCAAACACCTGTGAAAGGTTTAAAAGACTCCCTTGACATTTCAGGGGAAGAGACTTTTTCTTCTGCGCAGCTAAACCAGGAGTTAAGAACCTGCAGGCCCACATATGCACAGCAGTTAGATTTGCCTAAAGTCATCAATTGGACACTGATGCAGGATGTAAAATGGACATAAACAGACTCTTGGTTTAAAGTCTCTTTACTTCAAATATTCTGTCAGTGCTTAAAATAAATACTTTGCTTTAAAAAGGCTGCCTTCCCCACCACCTCCACCCCCCTATAAAAAAAAAAAAAAAGAAATCAGATTCAGCACCTTTGATTAGACAAGTTAGAAATGTGGGTAACATTTTTAAGTAAGTCGGTAGTTCTGTATCTTGCCTCTGATATTACAAGGAACAACATGAACTACGAGACATGAAAACAGAAACAAGTGTAGTTAGCCTAATAACAAGCAACTTGATCCTTCAACAAAATGCATTCACCTTTATCTTCACACTCCTTCAAAATCCTCCACATTCCCATAGTGGCATGTGGGTCTAGTTTTATTGCCACACAAAAAAACCCCAACAAACCATTCAATTAAATATTGAAGTGGTTTGCATCTTTATTTCATGTTTTTTAATAGTTTTCTTAAATTTCTAGTTCTGTTCCAAAATACTGTACCCATTCTACTACTACTGTTCTCATTTCATCCATTTTATTTTACTCTAATGGGAAGAATTTAGTCCATATTTGAATATAAGCATTATATGGGCTCAAACTTTGAGCTAATAGAAAAATTCACTTCATACAAAAATTTGAGATGCCTAAAAGAAAAAAAAAAAACCACATTTGGTATGAAATAATGGTTTTATCACACAAAACCACACAGCTGTAATGCCTTTTCTAGAGCCACCTTTTTCTGCTGTTAAGGGTTCTTTGCATCTGTAGTCACAAATATTATTTATTATTATTGAGTTATTTCAGTCCCCTGCACATAAGTTTGTCAAGTTTAGAAACTGCATCTCTTGATCAACTCACTAATGGGTACATCAAGCCACATTGTCTGCTTTCTTACAGGTGACTGTCAGCTTGTTCCAAGTAGGAAAACTATAGCTAACTATCCCTTTTGGCATTAATAGACAGCAAGAACAATTTTTCAGTCAATACTGTATATATTTAAAAAAAAGGCAGACTAGCACTTACTAAAAAAAGATTCAGTGATATTGTCATGTAAATTATGGAGAATCCCTAAGATAAAACACTTTTCACCATCTCAATAACTATACAAAATTGTGCAGGAGATTTATGCAAATGTATGCAAATAAATAAACTGCTTATATAAATGGATTACTCAGTGGTGTAAAAAGATCACTAAACCAACATTCATTTGCTTGCTGTAATCTTGGGAATTCATTATTCACATGTTTACTGCTGCTTCAAGCTCATGTATTTACACTCTGTAGCTTTGACAGATGCTTCTTCAAAAAAGCCTTCAAAGAAAAAAAATTAAAACCAAGTAACACTATCTCTAAAAATTATTCTGGCACTGCATGTTCTATTTTTTCAAGGTCTAAAAGACAAGAATTTCTGAAAAAGTTAACCACTTTGTGGCTTGGAATAGAACATGACCGAGTCCAGATATCTGATTTTAGTAATCTGATACACCTGATGGACACTTTTGAAACCACCCACAAGCACTTCACAAAAACCTTTAAGAGCTCATAGAATCACAGAATGGTTTGGGTTGGAAGGGACCTTTAATGATCATCTAGTCCAACCCCCTTGTGTGGGCAGGGACATCCTTCACTAGATCAGTTTGATCTAAGCCCCATCCAACCTGACCTTGGAAACATCCAGTGATGGGGCATCCACAACTTCTCTGGGCAACGTGTTCCAGTGTCTCACCACCCGCACCATAAAATGCTTCCTCCTTATGCCCAAACTAAGCCTACCCTCTGCCAGTTTAAAACCATTACCCCTCGTCCTATCAGTATGGGCCCCGGTAAGATGTCTCCCTCCTTCTGGTAAGCTCCCTTTAAGTACTGAAAGGCTGCTATAAGGTCTCCCTGAAGCCTTCTCTTTCCCAGGCTGAACAACCCCAACTCCCTCTCAGTCTTTCCTCACAGGAGAGGTGCTCCAACCCTCTGATCACATTCGTGGCCCTCCTCTGGACCCGCTCTAACAGGTCCATGTCCTTCTTATGTTGGGAACCCCAGAGCTGAACGCAGTACTCCAGGTGGGGTCTCACCAGAGCGGAGTACAGGGGCAGAATCCCCTCCCTCGACATGCTGGCCATGCTGCTTTTGATGCAGCCCAGGATATGGTTAGCTTTCTGGGCTGCGAGGACACATTGCCAGCTCATGTCCAATTTTTTAATCCACCAGTATCCCCAATCCCTTCATCCCCCAGTCTGTACACCAATACTGGGGATTGCCCCAACCTTGCACTTGGCCTTGTTGAACTTCATGAGGTTCACACAGGCGAACATTAGACATGACATTAATGTCTGCCCACAGAGAAAAGTTTAAGAGAGGTTCAAGGTCATTCTCTGCCCCTGTTCTTAACTGGCCAGAGACAAGCCAGCTGTAGTCCAGACATCATACACCCATATTAACGTGGCCCTGTGCGTGGGATATCAGGTCCTTTGGGGAAATCAAGCCTTATTTCAGGGTTTATCAGCTCACAGGTCATACACCACCAACACAGGGACCAATGCAGATTGATAAATGGCCATCATCTCAGAGCATGGGCAAAGGACTGGATTTTTCTGCAGCCACCAACACAGATGTGCATAAGATTTCACAAGGAGTTAGTAATTTTATGAGTAGGGGAAGATTATCCTTTGATAGGGGGTGATTTCCCTCAGCTCCTCAGAACCTCTCAATTCATTACTTACAAGTTGACAGAGTATTAAAATAAATTACAAACCAAATAGCCTTTATTTGTTTGGGTTTAATTTTCTGGCATTTATGTAGGTCACCTCAAGATTCCTATTGCTACAAATGACAGCAGTGAGCCAGAACACATGCACGTATTTCAAAAGACAATCATCTATGTTCAGGAAAGACAAAAATATTTTTCATCATGCTATTCTGTCTTTGGTGATAATTCTTAAAAAGCTACTTTTATGCTCTGTATGACAACGTTGTCAGCACATTTAGCATCTAAGACAGGCTGATTATGATTAGGTTTGCTATTCTTGTGGAACTGCAACCGGCCACAAGCTTACCAGAAAATCCATCACCAAGTATATTCATAAAATGAGTTTTCTGTATGCATTGCCATGCTGTTTCCCTGACAACACTTGACAGCTACCTTGCAAAAACATGGGGGTTTTTTTCATATAATCTCGACCTGTAAGAAATGCTAACTTTTAAAAACGTGTAAAAATATTAGAAATACAGAAAAAAAATCGGAATACAAAATTGACTTACACTACAAGACGACAGCTAATGACTAAATACTGTTCCCTCTAACTAGTAAAAGAGAAAGAGTAAATAGTAAAAATCCGCTTAAATCCTGAACCCGCACCGAGGGAGATGGAGCCAGATGGAGCAGGGAGACCAGCCCAGCCCAGCCCGCTCCCCGAGCAGTTCCTCCGCCCGCGGGGCAGCGCCTCGCGTGGGCCGGAGCCTGCCCGGGGCACCTCGGCCGAGCTGGAACCCTCCTTCGCCAGCACCACAGGACAGCGGGCCCGCCGAGCCCGCCAGGGGCGACCGCTCCCGGCTCGGTGAACACCCGGGTC